TTTTTTCATGAATTTTTTTACATTTTATTTCTAAATTTGTTTAATATTGTAATAATAATCACGCAAATATATATTGTCATTACAATTTTATTATTTTTGCTATTAAATTATAACGAAAGTAATAAAATTTTGAAAACTTGTTAGCAATAACTACCACTGTAAAATATTTATATGGAGTATAATATATAAAATATTGTGTATAGAGGAATAACACAGGCAAGAAAACTAGGAATAGGAATTGTATTTGTATTTACATATTTTCACAATCTGATTTTTATTATTTACAAGAAGCAAAAATAATAGAATTATAATGACAACACATATTTGCATGATTATTATTATAATATTAAACAAATTCAGAAATAAATGCAAAAAAATTCGTGAAATAAAAATTCAAGAGCACAGAAATTCGAGCACGGAACCCTTGGCTTATCAAGTTGACACGTTACCGCTTCGCCCGCCAAACCACTTGTAGCTAGGTTACACCTTTAAATATATAAGTTCCCATACAAATATTAGGGCTCTTTTTCTCAAAATTTGCTGCCCATTGGTCTGTAGAACTTGATCATGGTATGAGGTTTCATCACTACGAAGTCTCATTCGGAACTTCATTTCCCATACCGTTTCCTCTCCTTATGAGTACAAATAGACTGGTCCATCAACATATAGTATGGACTACGCATAGACAGAAAAAATGGTCGTCTGAAAGAAAAAGATAGCGACTGGTGGTGGCCAAGCACTATCTTCTTCTAACCAGCAGCCGTTGTACGAGAGTATAGAAAACATAGGCAATGGGAATATTAGAAAAGGAGAATAATTGGTCGCCACCTCATTTCGTCTTTGTTTATTTGAGCGGACACTTTATTAAAAGGATCTAAGGTAGGGATCGCGTAGTCCACACTATATGTCAATAGACTGGAACGGACACTTTTTAAAAGGATCTAAGGTAGGGATCGCGTAATCCACACTATATGTCAATAGACTGAACATACCCATGTATTCCGTGCCTCGCGATCTTTATATGCGGAATATATGTATATCTACATATAGAAGGTGGATTTCACCCGTCTTGTCCTCGGCGGAAAATCACGCCGAAACGCGATACGGGCCGAAAGGCCATAGCAAAGTCCAGGCAGGATCCATCGACTGCAATGGCCTAAGTGAAATTACCATAGATTATTTTATTATTTTTCTTTTGTTTTGCGTGTACTCTGCCGGAGTTCGAATAGGTGCTGGCTCGCCGTGCCCGTGAAGACGCGGAGAAAGAGAGAGGGAGAGCGAGCTGGAGTCCCAGGAGGAAGGGAGCTGCGACACGCGAGGGTCGACACTCGCTTTCTACTTCATTTATATTTTTTATATGCTTTTTTCTGTGGAACGTATCAACGGCATAAAAATAGACACGACTGTATAATATAATAAA